GACACTGAGACAGTTTTTGCCTCACAGCCTCATTAATTTTCATCTGATTACAATGTAATTAAGCTTTCATTAAAGCCAATTAAATTTTCTACAAACCTATTTATTGAGATTTTAATTTGGTTTGAACAGTTTTCTACCTAGAAAGCTTAGAAATTCAATTTATTGAACATTAAAAATTTGCCAAAAATGACACTGGAACAGTTTTTTCCTCACAGGTTTGTTAATTTCCCTCCAATTTCAATGTGATTGAAACTAATTAAATTCTCTACAAACCTATAAATTAAGATTTTAATTTGGTTTCAAGTTTTACATCTGAGAAGCTTCAAAATTGAGATTATCGAACATTGACAATTTTCCAAAAATGACACTGAGACAATTTTGCCTCACAGCTTCGTTAATTTTCATCTGAATTCAATGTAAACAAGCTCTTATTAAAACTAATTAAATTCTCTACAAACCTCTTGAATAAAATTATAATTTGGTTCCAACAGTTTTGCAGCTGAGAAGTTTCAAAATTGAAATTATCAAACATTGAAAATTTGCCAAAAGTGACACTGAGACAGTTTTTGCCTCACAGCCTCATTAATTTTCATCCGATTACAATGTAATTAAGCTTTCATTAAAGCCAATTAAATTCTCTACAAACCTATCAATTAGGATTTTAATTTGGTTTCAAGTTTCAACAGTTTTACATCTACAAACTGGCTTATTTGATTTGAATTCCACAATGTCACAAAGTATCCCCGTTTTACGGTATTCGTTTCTGGACAATACCTTCTGTATAATACCTCGATTTCCATTGAAAAAAAAAATGTGCCCTTGAACTTTGTTGAAAAAATAAAATTTGCCTGGTCTAAATTGTTTAATTAATCGTTTGGTTTTTATCAAATAAATTTGTTTTATTTTTACTTTGTATAGATATTTTTATTATTTTCCGTTTTTTGATATGAACAGGGTACAGGGTTGTCCAGTTTGGACACTTTTAATAGGAAACATCAATTTCTGAACAAAAATCAGCGAATCTTTATAAAATCTATAAGTAGTGGTGCAGGCCGCATTTTGATATCTTCAACCGTTTTGTCGCTAGAGGGCGTTTCTCGAATTTCGTGAACGCTTTATCATTTTTTTGTTTATGAAAATAATTGATTTTTGTGAAAACTTTCTTGAAATTGAGACCAAACAGAAAAAAAAATGAGTAACCATTGGATTCTACTTGAAAAAGTACCTATAAATAAAAAAGTTAGGAAGGTTCACAGTATTGCTCAGAATCCCGAAACATCATCTGGCTCAGAAATTTACGTTTCTTATCAAAAGTGTCCAAATTGGACCACCCTGTACATTCTTTGACAATGTATGTGAAGTAAAAATAAATTTTCAAAAAATCATTGTTGATAATTTTCATAACCTGCGCCTCCCTTGAAGAAAATCCTGGATTCGCCCCTGTTCCCTATATTTAGACAGCATATAACTCTCTTATAAAGCAAGATTTAAAAAAATGTAAACACAAAGTAAATAGTAACCGCTAGAAAATTTAACTTTTAAACACACCTCAAAATAGTCTAGGGAACAAGATAATACCTATACTTATCAGAAATTTTTTGCTGATTTTTAGTTATAAAGTATTCAAACTAAATAATTTTGCAAAAAAAGCCAATATGGTAAATTTCATAAGATTTGTTTAATAAAAATACCCACGTTATCTTTTAAAAAAAGTTGTTCTGTCCTAAAATTGGAAGACATATTTCTTGTTCCCTAGACAATTTTGATGAGTGTATATACAGGGTGCACGCAAAAGATGTGGCAGACATAACTTGTATGTTTTGAATGGAACACCCTGTATATATTTGGCTAGAATGATTGATTCTTTTCTTCTTATTCCAAATATGTAGCGAATAAATTTTGATTTGATTTGATGTAAATATATGGCATTTGTTATTTTTTTATCGTGCATTCCGTAACCTAGTTCATGGGTGTTTACTGTTTGTTGTTCTATTTGTTATACTAAGGTAAGACCTTGATTAAGTCTAAGTATTAGTTAGTGCTATTATTGTTAACTTATATATCATTCTAGCCAAAAATATACAGGGTGTTCCATTTGAAAAAATACAAATTGTGTCTGCCACGTCTTTTGCATGCAGCCTGTATATATAAAAGTTTAATTTTCTAGCGGTTCTCATAAATCCCTATGTACAGGGTGGTCCAAATTGGACACTTTCTTATGGAAACACCCTTTATTTTTAGAGATAGAAAAAAATGAACCCCGCACTCTGAGGCTCAAATTTCATGTAATTTTGATTGGTGCAAACCGCATTTTGATGTCTTCAACCGTTTAGCCGCTAGAGGGCGTTTCTCGATTTTGAGCAATACTGTGAAACCTTCATAACTTTTTTGTTTATGAAAATAATTGATTTCCGTAAAGACTTCCTAGAGGCACTTTTTTAAGAAGAATTCAGTGAAGTTCTCAGTTTTTTTCTAATTGACTCGGATTTCGAGATATTGACCAAAATTCGATTTTTTTCAATAGAACACCCTATATATTAATAGCTTATTGGAAAGCTCTGCTTTTACTGATTTCAATGATATAAAGTTCGATAGGTTTATCCCTATCAGTTTCCGAGAAAAAAAATTATTTCTGTTTTTGTCATAAGAAACAATGTGTTAGAAAGAGACCTTTCTCGTTTTCCTTACAGATATAAAGTCCTTTTCCAACACATTGTGTCTTATAACAAAAATCGAAATAATTTTTTTCTCGGAAACCGTTGGAGATAAACCTATTGAATTTTATATCATTGAAATCAGCAAAAGCAGAGCTTTTCAATGAGCTATTAATATATATAGGATGTCCTATTGAAAAAAATCGGATTTTGGTCAATATCTCGGAATCGGAGCTAAATAGAAAAAAGCTGAGAACGTCACAGTATTGCTACAGAATCGCCCTCTAGCGGCTAAACGGTTGAAGATATCAAAATGCGGTTTGCACGAATCAAAATTTCATGAAATTTGAGCCTCAGAGTGGGGGGTTAATTTTTTTCTATCTCTAAAAATAAAGGGTGTTTCCATAAGAAAGTGCCCAAATTGGTCCACCCTGTACAGGAGTTCAGGGTCCTTATTCTTGAAACTGGGGAGCAGCGTTCCCAGGAGAACGAGTGTTCCGTCTTTCTCAATGATATGCAAATAATAATATAAGTAACAAAGATGGAAAACTCGTTCTCCTGGGATCGCTGCTCCCCTGTTTCAAGAATAAGGACCCAGGTATTCCTAGAGGAGTTGGAAAAAATCTGACCCCCACTTGCGAGCCTTGATTTTCAAGAGAAGTTGACCAGTGAAACTTGCATCTCGATTGTAGCTACAAGGGGAGATAAAATAAAAAAGCTATAGCCGTCTGCTAAACTCCAAATTTTCCAAAAACTCCTCGTACTACAAAAACGACTTGACATATCGAGGTTCAGTTTTTGCTAGTCAATTTCTTTTGAAAATTGACGCTTGCAAGTGGAGGTTAGATCTTTTCCAACTCCTTTAGAAATACCTGAAACCCTCCAAAACCATCGAATCTTGGACACCCTGTACTTTGTATTACCATCTTGCTCCATAAGTGAGCTTTTATACAATGTGTGCATAAAGTAACTAATAAATTCATTTAAAATTCATTAGTGGCGATTATCAAATTAATTTGTATGTATACAGGGGGACCCAGAAAAGAGATATCACATGACACATCAATTTTTTAAATGCAATGTCCTGTATATTTTGATAGAGCGCATCAAGATGAATTCTCACTTTATTGATATTCATCAAAATATACAGGGCATTCTATTTAAAAATTTGAATTGTCACGTGATATCTCTTTTTGGGATCACCCTGTATAATTACAAATTAGTTTGAAAACAGTGCTACTAAAAATTAAGATTGATGTGTCTGCGCGTTTTTCCAAAAAAAAAAAATTTTTTCTACAAACGTCACTTAAAGTGACATTTTTAACGGATGCTGTCAGTGTCTAAAATGCCATTTTATGACACTGGTGTTAAAAGTGATTACTTTTAGCACTAGTGCTAAAAGTAATCACTTTTAGTGCGTTTGTAGAAAAAATAGTGTATGATATAAGTGCTAAAAGTGACATTTTATTTTGTTCAAAGGGATGGAACACTCCGCCTTCAGCGTCGTGTCCCAAATTTCCCTTTTCACAAAATAAAATGTCACTTTTAGCACTTATATCATAAATAACTATTATATTATAAATGAAATTATCCGTTACTTTATGGACACAGTGTATATGCTGTCTAAATATATGGAACAACGCTGTACCTATTTACCCCTTTGATATTTTTATTCAAATTTTTCAATGTGTGATATTTTAATATCCAAGATTGCTTTAATGTGCCATTTAAAAACTATTTGTACCACCAGTGGTTTTTGAGCAATTTGATCTTGAGTGGATGAAATTTTGGCAAAATTATAGCTTTGACCCTTAATTTCTCAAAGCCTTTGAAAGCAACTGAATTCATATTTGCACGATTTATAGAGAATTCAATCCTCTTTTAAACAAACTATAATACATGTTGATTCATTAAAAATTACGGAAACTGTGAGCAAATTTTCAAAAAAGTGCAAAATAGAAAATTTCTTTTTTTTCAAATATTATATACAAGGTGATTTACATAGCCTGTGTATTAGATTGCAGGTGGATTACATGCTATCTCTACTAATGCACCTGCAATCTGAAAAACTACTAATCCACGGGCTATGTAAATCACGATGTATACACTAACTCCTTTGTGTAGCTGTGCTTTAATGTTTGCTTTTATTTTTTTCATGTACTTGCAGTTTGAACAGAGTAAATAAACTCAACTAAATTTTAAATGATGAAACAATTTTGCCAGTTCTGCTTCTGATGGTACAGAGAAGACACCAAATACCACTTCTGAGTTAAATTTTCCAAAAAAAACTCAAAACAAACCCCTCAACATACTCTAGTCTAAAACACATTATTCTAATAATTTCAGGAGAACTCCGCGACTATTTCGGCAAATACGGCGAAATCGAAAGCATAAATGTAAAGACAGACTCGATGACTGGCAGGTCCAGGGGCTTCGCCTTCATCGTCTTCCAAGACGCCGAATCCATTGACCGCGTAACCGACGCCGGCGAACACACAATCAGCGGCAAGAAAGTCGATCCCAAAAAGGCGAAAGCGCGACACGGAAAAATATTTGTCGGCGGATTATCGGCAGAATTGAGCGACGATGACATTAAAGAATATTTTGGACAATTTGGAACTGTAAGAATATTTCATATTGTATTAATAATTATTATTATTTAAGTTTTTGTATGATGAAACATTTTTGCCAGTTCTGCTTCTGATGGAACAGAGAAGATATTTTATACCACTTCTGAGTTTTTTTAATTTTAATAACAAAAATTATTTACGTTCCAAATTAAATTACTAATTGTTATTATTATTTAATTTCAGATCATTGAGTTGGAAATGCCCTTTGACAAGCAAAAGAACCAAAGGAAAGGTTTCTGTTTCCTGACATTCGAGTCTGAGCAAGTTGTACAAGAGATTTTGAAAAAACCCAAACAAACCATCAAAGATAAAGAGGTGAGAGAAACTATTTTTTTTTTGTGTGTGAAAATGTATTTTTCTACTTGCGTGCGCAAAGTAATCACTTTGCACACTCATTTGCATGCGCAAAGTTGAACTTTGCGCACGGAAACTCTTTGCGCACTCATTTTTGTTACGCATAATTACCATAGTTATACTTGGTTTTTCAATGTTTTGATGGTTTCTGAATAAACTAATATTCAAAATGAAGGGTTTTAGTTGAAATTAACGCTTAGTTAACATGATGTTTCCTATCAAAGGTGTCCAAATTGGACCAGGCTGTACTGCTCGGAATTTGTAAAATTTTTGATATTTAAGAGATTCTCATGAAAATATTCTTGCTGATTCTAGAAATTGAAGAAGATGTGAAAAGATATTTGGGGATTTAATTTAAAAGACATTCTAAGGAATTCCAATAGATTTTAAACGATTTTTGAAGATTTCGATTTGATTGATTTTTCTAATATTTTAGCAATTCAAAGTCTACTTTTTTAAGATACTTGTAGAAAAAATATTGTTCCTAACACTTGCGCAAAGTGTCTTTCCCGCGTCGTTCGTCTAACTGCTTTTTCGTGCGGGAAAGTATCACTTTGCGCACTTGTTAGGAAAATAACTATTTAATTTTTAATTTTAAGGTTGATGTTAAAAAAGCCACACCAAAACCCGACCAAATGATGCTTGGTAGAGGTGGTAGAGGTACCAGAGGTGGACTTAGAGGTCGTGGAGGTAAGGATTTTTCAATTTCTTAAATTGTCACTTTTATCAAAATCATTTTAAAAACAGGTCGTGGTGGTTTTGGACAAAGTTGGGGCCCTGGCTACGGCGGCTACAACTACAACCAAGGTTACGGCTACGACAACTACGGCCAGGGAAGCTACGACTACTACGGCGGCGGCGGTTATGGCAACTACAACAACTATGATTATTCCGGATACAGCGGAAACTACGGTAAATACAATAATTATAAAAAGAAAGTTTCGAACGCGCCTGTCGATAATAATACTACTAGCGAACAATAATAGTAAATTATATTTTTACACCTTGAATAAATAAATTCTACATTTAAGTGAAACATGAATTTGTTTGCATTAGTAAATTTGAATCTGCCCTACAATTTTTTATGGGATTGCAGCACCTTTTCCAAAAGCATGCGTACAAATAAACATTCAAACAAGTAGATTTTTTTTTGTTGCATTTTCATTTTAAAAAAATCAAAAGCATTAATTAGCATTGATTACCTCCCATTTTGTGCAGACCAGGGATATGGTTATGAAGGAGGATACGGTGGCGGCAGGAATAACTCTCGAGGTGGAAAAGGTATTGTTTTTTTCTTGTAGTCATGCTTCATGTGCACGTCCCTGAAAAATTCATTTTTCCAAGATTAAAAGAAAAATTATCAATAATGTATGTTGATATTTTAACTTTTTAATCTTAATTTCCAAACTGACAATTTTTCATAAAATATGAAACTGCAACCTTCAAGAAAACTGTTGATTTTTTTTTTTACTTGTTTAGCTAGTCCCACTCAAAGATTTTTTTTTTTTTTTGATGAGCCACCCACCCTCTCTATAATACTTTCCAAACCCCTCCCTTGATCCAATCCCATAATATCCAAAATTATTGGAAAAGTTATTACAGTACAACCTCGATAATCTGACCATATGTTAATCTGAACCTCCACTAATCCGAACAACTGCTATGCGCGCCTCGTAAAATTTAATATGTACCTAATAATGTTCTTAAAGTCAGATCAGAAGAATCTGAAGAAATCGTACCGATCAACGTAACTCACAGAGAAACAGTAAAATGTTTTCAGACTTGTTTAAAATGAGCAGAACAAAATTCTGAAAAAGCGGAGGACATTTTTATTCTAAAGCTCAGTTTATTCATCTTACCGTTTTGTAATTCTATTGGTCGGCAGATAACTGGCCGACCAATGGGATTACAGATTGCCTTTTTATCCGTCAGACTGCATACCTGACAACTTATCATAAGGTGAAAAAACCGGCCCTCAAAGAAATGAAAAAGAAGGCGGAAATGAGAGAAGCAGCCAGTTTGAAGCAAAAAAAATAGTATATTACAATCCAAGACGGGAAATGCTTCATTACTGGTCGAGAGGTTTTATAGTTTATCGAGACGCGTAGCGTCGAGATAAACTGAACCTCGAGACAGCAATGAAGTTTCCCGTCGAGGGTTGTATACTATTTTATTTTTAACCATAATTTCTTGAAAAAAAAAAAATTCGGGGCAACCAAATGAGGTCGGCAAATGAAGAGGTAAATGAGAACGGGAAATATTTCCCAGCTCCATTTTCCGTCCGTGGGGTTGCACTTCCCGTCTTGGGACAGGTAATGGAGCAGGAAAATGAAAAGACAGAAATGTGACATTTTCAAATTTTTGAAAAGTCAGTAATGACAACATTTCATATATGGTTAAAAATAATAGCTATTTATATAACAAGTACATAAAGTAAGGCTTTATTATACGAATAATTTTATGGCCGAGCGAGCTTGCGAGCGAGGCTATTAAATAATGAGTTAAAAAAGCCTGTTTATGTAAGCGTTATATACATGATTTTATGTACGATTGATAAAATTTAATGAAAAAAGTAAAATTTGCGTAGGTATACCTGTTACACCTTGGCAGGTTGTCAGGACCTGTTTCACCATGTCAGGTAGTCCAGATAGGCAATAAAGTAGCACTTTATTTTACTAGTACAATAAAGTGCTACTTTATTGACGCAAAATTGTTCTATAAATAGCACTTTATTGGTCAATCGGACATAAAAGTACATTACATAATCAGGCAATCCAAGGACCTGTCCAAATGGTGTCTGGTTGGCAAACAATAAACAAAAAATATATGTTTTACTGTTGGCAGGATTAAGCCTAGTACTCATAGCAGCGAAATTCACTCTTTTTTGACATTGCTTTGACAATTTGACGTTTTATGCGTGAATCAAACGTCAAATTGTCGAAGCGACGTCAAAAAAGAGCGAATTTCGCGGTTATGAGTACTAGGCTTTATCAATCTGACACTTTTCTGACATCGTTGACATGTAACAACCCTTATTCTAACCTTATAAAAATTTTAAAATGCCGGCTGGTTGGCAAAAGTCACGTGGTTTTGATTCCCTAATTGTTTTACTCGTCTAACCTAAGTTAAACTCAGAGTTAATTACGTACATTTACATTTGTCTTAAAAAATAAAGCTTATTTTTGATTATTTGCATATTTAAGGTAAATTTACCACGCATTTTGATAATCAGAACAAATCGGCAATCCGGACTGACCTTGGCAATAAGTATTTCAGATTATCGAGGTTGTACTGTAATGCGTTTTGTATGGTTTAATGGAATTTGTGTTGAAAATATTCCAGGCTCAAAATTAAAATTGACCCTAAAACAAAAAAATAAAATAAAATGGAAGAAGAGTGCATTATAGGCTTCAAAATACAAGAGTTTTGATTTTTTTTTGAGGAAAATTTGACATATTCAATATTGATTTTTTAGAGAAAAAAAAATTGTACCTATAATTTTTTTTTTAATAATTAAGACAAATTTACCAATCTCTAAATCCTATTAGTCAGCAGGTAACAGGCCGGCCAATAGGATTTTGAACAAAACACTCTCTCTACAACTCTTTACCACCCTCGATCTAATTCCATAATATCCAATGGGCATTTTATAAAAAAAAGGTTATTGATGCGTTTTGTATGATTTAGGGAGATTTGTGTGTCAAAAAAATTTCAGCGACAGTTTCAGGCTCAAACTAAAACTTGAGCCTGAAACAAAAAAAATAGAAGAGTGTGTGTGAGCGCAAAAGCCAAAAGGGTTGGTGACGTCCCACGTGAATAAAAAAAAAACACCTACTAAACCTTTAGTGCAAAGTGCCTGAATAACACTAGTGAGTAAATCGGAATTAATATTAAAATTTTTATACTGCTTTCTCTTTTCAGGTGGTTCCGGAGGCGGCGGTGCCAACTTCCAGGGCGGTAAAGCGAGAGGCGCTACCAGAACGAATACCCAGAGGCATCAACCTTATTAAAAAAAAAAAACGTTTTCAAATATTAGGATTATAGGGTTACACACTTGGGTAAGTCAATAATTTATTGTCAATTGAATAATTACTAAATATTGTTTTTTTTTTTTGCAGGCGTTTCTCAATTTATCGAGGTCAAAAGAAATATAGTCATTTTGTTTCCTTGAAGTCATTCCACAATTTGTTTATTATGGAAGAACTGTACAAAAAATCTGATGATTTTTCTTTTTTGTAATTATTTAGAGACTGCGATTCTTTTTTAATTTAGTTTTGATATTACAAGTAATACCAAAAAAAATTGTCGCCACTAGTAATTTTACAATAATTGCCTGTCGGGCAAAAAAAGGAATTCAAATGGGCAAAAGATAGTAATTTATTGAATAAAAGAAAAATATTGGTGATTTTTAAATAATTAGGAAATTAACGGTTATAAGTAATATGTATGTCAAGTTTTTTTTTTGTATTATGTTAACTTTTATTATGATTTAACTTTATTAGTAATTATCGTACTCCCTAGAGGTAAGTTATTGTAAGAATGTGTATTTCTGTTGCATGATTATGACAATGCAAATTTCATTTGAATAAAAGTATGTGATTACGAGATTTGTTTTGACTTTGGTATTCCTTAATTTTTTAATAAATATTATTTTCCCTGTGTATAATAATTAATAGTTAATTCCTTATTAGTTTTTCTTTCAATTTTTTCACTTGAAATCTACTGCCGAAAAAAATTCTTTTAGGAAAAATTTAATGAAAAATTCAAGGTACAGGGTGGGCCAATTTGGACACTTTCTTACGGAAACACCCTTTATTTTTAGAGATAGAAAAAAATGAACCCCCCACTCTGAGGCTCAAATTTCATGAAATTTTGATTGGTGCAAACCGCATTTTGATATCTTCAACCGTTTAGCCGCTAGAGGGCGATTCTCGATTTTGAGCAATAATGTGAAACCGTCATAACTTTTTTATTTATGAAAATAATTCATTTCTGTAAAGACTTTCTGGGAGCACTTTTTTGAGTAGAATTCAGCGTTCTCAGCTTTTTTCTATTTGGCTCCGATTCCGAGATATTGACCAAAATCCGATTTTTTTCAATAGGACATCCTATATATTAATAGCTCATTGAAAAGCTCTGCTTTTGCTGATTTCAATGATATATAAAATTCGATAGGTTTATCTCCATCGGTTTACGAGAAAAAAATGATTTCGATTTTTGTCATAAGACACAATGTGTTGGAAAAGGACTTTATATCTGTAAGGAAAACGAGAAAGGTCTCTTTCTAACACATTGTTTCTTATGACAAAAACAGAAATAATTTTTTTTCTCGAAAACTATTAGGGATAAACCTATCGAAGTTTATATCATTGAAATCAGCAAAAGCAGAGCTTTCCAATAAGCTATTAACATATAGGGTGTTCTATTGAAAAAAATCGGATTTTGATCAATATCTCGAAATCCGAGTCAATTAGAGAAAGTCACTGAATCCTTCTTAAAAAAGTGCCTCTAGAAAGTCTTTACGGAAATGAAATATTTTCATAAACAAAAAAGTTATGAAGGTTTCACAGTGAGCCTGTGATTTATTTAGTCATTTATTTAGCACAATATACTAATTCTATGTTACAATATACCGGTTCCGTCTTATTCTAAAATCTAAAACAAAATATCAAAATCACATTACTTATTAAAACTAACAATCATAGACTATAGACTACAAATCCAGTCATCCTTACAATAAAGTTAACAATTTAAAAAACAAAAATCAATCCAAATCAGAACAATAATTAACCATCTCAAGGTACATACAAATTATTTTCTCTCAGCAAATGAACTTTCAGCTGTTTCTTAAAACTATACATTGAATCACATGTTTTTATCACAGCGGGCAATTTATTGTATAGATCGACTCCCCTAAAAAATAACGTATTTTGACCAGACTTTTTATTTTTTGGTGCTATGAAAAAATCGTTTTGCTGACGTGTACTGTAGTTATGGATTTCATTATTATAAATTATTTTATCCATTAAGTATTGAGGGGCATGACCATTCTTTATCTTGAAAATAAAAACCATAACACTGTACTTAATATATTCAGAAACAGGCAACCATTGCAAACGTTCTTGCATAGAACGGATTGAAGTGTATCTGTTGCATCCCAAAATCACCCTCATTGCACGATTCTGCATTTTTTGTATTCTTCCTAATGTATTCTGGTTTAACAAAAACAAAATACTTGCACAATAATTAATATGTGGTAGTACAAGTGTATTATGTATAACAAATTTAGTCCAGAAACTCAAATATGGACTGCATCTTGTTAGATGACTAATATTGTAGCTCAATTTGCTTATAATTGAATTGGCATGCTCCCCAAATGTCAGCTGATCATCAATTATTACTCCCAGATACTTAATTTTTCTAACAATCTCAATAGGATACCTATCAATACGTATATCAAATTTGTCTTTACCAAAAGCCCTTCTCATTTTTTCTGGTATGACAACCATAGATTTTGTTTTTGATGCATTTATCTTCAACTTATTCACACACATATAATTGTACAGATTATCCAGAGCATTATTAGTACTTTCAACCAATTCATTCACATTCTTAGATACAGAGTATACCAGAGTGTCATCTGCAAACAGATGAACATTAACCGGAGGATGCACCGCATTTACGATATCATTGATATATAGAACAAACAATAAAGGCCCCAGTATACTGCCCTGAGGTACACCATAGTTATTAGTTCTCTCAGTTGATATCTCCCTACCCAACCTAACTACTTGCCTACGATCCACCAGGTAACTATCAATCCATTCCAATACTCTTCCACGCAATCCCAGTTTATGCAATTTCAAAACCAGTCTCTGTCTATCGATAGTTTCAAATGCTCTTTGAAGATCCAAGAAAACTGCAACTATACCATAGTTGTTGTCTAAGCCATTTTTCCACTCATCGATCACACATTGTATGGCTGTTTCACAACTGTGCTTTTTTCTGAATCCGGACTGGTTACCTGTTATCAAATTATTACTTTCCACAAAATCAATTAATTGCACATATACCACCCTTTCAAGAATTTTTTCCACAGCCGCCAGCATATTTAATGGTCGAAAATTGGATGCTACATTCACATTAGGTTTCTTTTGAATTGGCACCACAGTAGACAGCTTCAACCTATCAGGGACAGTACCTATTTCTAAAGAGTAATTTATTAGATTTATTAGGGGATCTTCAATTCCCACATATATGTTTCTCAATAATTCAATATCCAAATCATCTGGACTTTTTTTGTTTTGAAAGAAAATACTTTATCTTTCAATTCTTCTCTTGTAATTACGCTAAAATCTAATACAATGAAACCATGCTATTCAACATAACCTGCGTTTAACTCAAATGCGACTGAAATTTGTTCACAAATATTTTCTATGCTCTGAACGTAATACTCATTTTGTCTCTCACAAATTTCTCTACTATCATTCTCACATTCACCATTTTCAAATTCAACAAATTCTATACTGTTTTTATTTTTTGAAGGGATAATTTGTTGAAGTACCGTCCACATTTCCTTTGGGTTACTTTTACAACCATCAACCTTTGCCTCAAAATATTTCCTTTTTTCATCCTTAATCACCCTCACAACATTATTTCTTTTCTGTTTATATATATCACGAGTTAGCTCTAAATTGTCAACTTTATACCTCTTGTACCATTCATCCCTCTCCTTTACAGCATTCTCAACTCTTTCATTCCACCATGGTTTATATTTAGCCAGTATTTTTACTTGCTTCTTGGGCGCAATTTCGTTCAGAGCGTCCAAACAATTATTGAGGAACATATCACACTTAACATTTACATCAATATTACCATACACCCAGTCAACACCCAAGAGTTTTTTCTGCACACCCCTATAGTCAATATTTCTCCCACGAGTTTCAACAAAAAAGGGCTCTTGGTTTTTTCTGCTCCAGACTTCAATACCAACAGTCAAAATATAATGGTCACTTATTCTAGGGGTATTTAAAACATTACAATAACTAATAGTCATCACATTTGAGAAAATCAGGTCAATAAGCGTACCTTCACATCCCCTATTCGCTGGTCTAGTCACTTTTGTAACTAACTGGTTGAGTCCTGCCTCTTTACTATATAATCTTAACCTATTTGTATATGTATCATTTATTAACCAATTCAAATTAAAATCACCTGCCACAATTATTGGCGTTTTAACGTCACATATATATTCTTCATACCAGCCCTCGAAAAAATCTAAAAAATCTGCACTACTCGAACTTGGAGATCTATAGATGCAAGCAACTCTAAATAACTTATTGTAAATTTCGATCTTCAAACTCAAAATCCAATAATCTTTGTTATGAGACAGCTGTTGTATGTTAATAACTCTAATCCTATTCTCAACATAAATCTGCACCCCACCTGTATGCCTACTAACACTATCCACTCTCATACACCTGTAACCCTCAACAAATACCTCAGACGCATCTATATTCTCAGTTAGATGAGTCTCTGATATACATACCACATTAGGTTTCTTAGTAATTATTAAACTATGTATTTCATCAAAATGTGCATAGGTACTACCTGCATTAAAGTAAATCAAACTAAAACTAAGAGCACTCTTGTCTTTATCTATTCTATTACTACATCCATGCGGAGTGGGCCTAAAAAAGAATTCCGTGCATTTTGGCAAGCATTGCTAATATCAGCTGTGATAACATCTTTCGAAATTGGAACAAATATCAGATTCTTACAAGGTTTTTTACATAGCACTTGCTGTAGCAGCAGTTGTAAGTATTGCTCTTCCCTGTAGTTGCCCAAATCACACCACATAACATTGCCTTCACTATATTTATTTAGTCTTGAACAATATTCCTCAAGTTTTGAGTTGAATTTCTTAATGATTTTATAATTATAATTAGCTCTTTGCGTTGAAACAGACGTGAATACAATATTTGTATGTGTACAATGTTTGATTTTACTATTTATATCCCTAAAGAGAGGATGCTTGTTATGCCCAGAAAAATCATTTGCCCCACCCACAATGACAACATAATCATTCAATGTGAAATCCTTAACTAAATTAATAATGTCTTCAGTGATGTTCCTGAACAGAGCACCAGGTTTTATTATTGTCTGTATCTTAAAGTTTGAGTTCTTCCGTAACCATTCATACAAATAGCGTCCATTTTGATCACATAACAGCAGAAGTTTATTATCATCAATGTCACTAATCGAACAGCTCTCTTCAATAACAATATTTGGTGAAATTTCATCATTACTCATAGCAGAAACTGGTTCATTTATATTGGATTTAACAGGCTGTGTAACTGGGCGTTCCTCCACAATAAGTGAGTTCTGGGAGATGGCTGGTCCAATCATCAACTCTGCTTGCTCCTTGAAATGTTCAATTTCCCTCTGATAAATTTTATTTTCAGCCTCCAATATTCTGATGGAGTCAATAATATTACGATTTACTTCCATAAGCTCCTGGTATTGTTTATTCGCTTTATTCAACTCCTCTTGCATAATAACCTTTTCTGAGGCGAAAACATTGTTTTCCTCGTTCAATTTAACTATG